CCCCCCCCCTCAAAAAAAAAAATCCCTTTTCTTCTTTTGCTCCCTTCCATAAGGATCTTGAGCACTATGCCCCTAGTGCTTTTCAAACTGCTGAGGTTGGGGTTCCAACCTACATTTGGTCATGTGGAATCTGACTCTCTTTGCAAAACACTTAACCACTGTGCAATGGGGTCTGGGAGAGGGGAGGAAAGAGAATACTTTCTATATGCTGACTTCATAGGCTTTTCAATATATATTATATATTGAGTATGTACCACCTGTCAATGTTGTTTTACCTCTTTATACACTGATATGAATTAAGGCCTACCACTACCCCTAATGTGTTGATGGATCTGAGATGAGAGTTTAAATAATTTGCAGAACATCATTCAGTTACAATGCAGTGGAACCAGGAGTTGAACTTGTTATATCTGGCTTTTGGGTCTGTACTACTTTTTTCTCTCTCTAAAGTTTCTTTCTTTCACGAGAGAGTGATGAAAAATCCAGACACAGAGACCTCCCCTCCACTGCTCCCACTGGGCCCCAGAGTTTTGTCTGGCCAGGATCCTCCCCGCAGACTTTCTCAGCCAGAATCATCTGTATACCCTTCTCTTTCCCGGCAGTCTTTCTCACCTGGCTTCCGCATTGTAAAGCATTGCCTTATTACCTGTGCCATCACAGCTGGGCATGGACTCTTTCATTATTAAGCAATACTTCTACCTTATTCTTCTGAATAAAAATAAATACTAAATAGTTTCACGAATATATTTCGTAGCTCTAGTAATTCAGAGTAACACTTACCTAACCTGTTGCAGAACGAATGAAAAGTATGTACAGCCCTGCGTGGAAGGCAGGTAATAATTTTATTTCTGACACAAAACTTTCAAGGTCGGTTAGTTAAATTTTCTAAGCCTCAGTACTCTCGGGAGAAAAATGAGATTAAATTATAACTATGCAACTAGTGCGTGCAAACTATATGAGTCATTCCTTCACATCGCAGGTTTAATGCACCTTAAATAGTGGTTAATGTCATTCAGCAAAATGAGGTCAGGTGAGGTGAGAAAATGCCCTAAAATCCACAGAGCACCTTGCAAACTTTGTTTGAACTGCTCTATTAACACCCAAACAGGCCCTCTGCTTCGCCAACGGCCTGACGTCCTCCTTTACGAAAGACATCACTAGGCAAACTGAATTCTAGCCTTCACCTTCCTCCCGCCCGGTGATCGATCACGCCCGGACAGCTGGGGACTAACTTTAGAGAGCAGACAGGAGTCACCCAAACTCTGGCCTCAAAGGCCACAGGACCGCGGCCCAAAGGCAAGCCTGATGCTTTTGCTCTTGGAACAACTTACGGATAGAAACTCAGCTTCCGGTCTTTATTGTTCCGTCCCCGGCGATTCTTACAGCAAATCGCTGCGCAATAGCGCGGCATTGCTGAGGTGAGGTCCGGGACACGCGGGCCGGATGAGGGCGCAGACCAGCCCTTTTCACTGAGGCGGGGCAATAGGTCCAAGCATTCCGAACCACCGCGCATGCGTCAAGACCCGCCCAAGGGAAAGACGCCGCTAACCTCCATTCACTTCCGCCTCGGCGGCATCTGCTCAGCCCTTCCGGTGGGTCGAAACCGGAAGTGACGCAAAGCCCGAGCGGCAACAACAGTTTTCCACGTGCGCGTAGGGCGCCTGGGTCAGGTGGGGAAACGTGGGCCAATAGGGAAGCGTTTCGTGTAGGTCTTCTCCTGTGGTGGTGGCGCTAGGAGCGACTGCTGGCCAGTGGGGAGCGGGCCAAGACGGGACTCGGCTGCGGCAGCCTGAGGAGCGCAGGGGCGGTGTGCAGTGGTGCGCGCGCCGGCTCCTGGAGGCCGAGGTGGCCAGGGTAAGGGGCCGGGCCGAGCAGCCGAACGGAGCCGGTCGTCAGCCTCGCCGTCTTAGCTAAGCGGACGTGCAGCGGCAGCCGGAGGGTGCGGGTGAGGGACAAGGCTGGGGTCTTGGGGTGGGGGATTTGGAGCGTCTCTGGAGCCCTGGCCGGTCTTTGTGCGTAGAGTTGGCGTCGGTGACTGTCGCAGTCCCTGCAGAGTCTTGGACTGTATGTACTTGACGTAGGAGTAGGCGAAAGGAGATGGCCTAACTGTAGAATAATGCGTGAGCGTTTTGTGTTGTGCCGCGGACTCCCTCAGTGTCGGACAGCTCCTCCATGGGCCGGGTGGCCCGGAGCCCCGAAGGCGAGGCCTGGACGGACAGGGCGTGTGCTGCTCGCCTGTGGGTGAAGGTTGGTCAGTCCAACCCAGCCAGCCACCAGCGCTGGGGAGTAAGACCCAGGCTGCTGTCCAGCGGGTCCGTCTTGGGAACAAGAAATCAGTGTAATAGAGAAATTAGCTAAAAAATTACCAGATAGCCTGAAAACGTGGGATAACGTTTATTTAACCAGTAAAATGCCTCTCTGTCAGCTTTAGACCCGCCCTTTGCCTAAGGAGCAACCTTCGGTGGATTCTGCCGGCGTCCACCGGACACGCTCTGTTTGTGTTCTTTCAGTCAGGAGGCTATACTTGATCCCTAGTACCCGTGACTATGAGTAACTCTCTGGAAAGAAGTAAGCCACCTGCTAATTACTGAGAAGGAGCCACAGGAGAGGAAGGCAGGCAGTTTCCACAAACCACAGTGTCTTTTCGTCAGCCTTGTTATGTCATCATAAGTCGTTAAGGACTCCTGGGTACAGTATTCAGAAAACACGATCACTTCGTTTAAAATCTTGCCACTAAATATGTATTATCAAAAATTCCAAGTTGAATTATGAATTAAAATTTCTTTAATGGTTTGGAAATAAGAGAAATACATTACTACGTTTAAAAATAAGAATCTAACTTATCTGAAGTACTATTAGAGCTTATTTTTTCAGAAGCTTTAGTAGAAGTCTTAAATCCTGTTATAAGTTTTAAGCAGAACTTACTCTTTTTTTTTTTTTTTGGTGTGTGCTTAACATTTTGGAATCTTATATTTGAAGAAAAAACAACTATCCTATTGTCAGTGTTAGTTTTGTCATATTAAGATTCTCTATTTGCAGTCATTGGCCCACCTTGCTGAATAGAACCTGAATTGGTACTTTCTTAGGAAAGGAAGGTTACTAATTTAGACATATTATTAATAGGTTATTTACCTTATTAACTCACTTTTTTCTTTATGTGAAAAATACAGTATTGTCCCTCAGGAATGAACTTCTGTAAGGAAGATTGGGATATTTTAAAATATTATTTGGATTATTCTATTCTTGTTTATCATGCTTACATATGATGGGTTTTCAATACTGATTGGTATAAACTGGTTATTGAAAATTCTTTTTTCTCTGTATATGGACAGAGTATTTGTTGAAAGAAAAAGCCAAGAAAGATTTTTTCTCAATTTGGTTGAATTCTTGCTCTAACAAGGTTACCCTGTGGTTGGACTATTTACTCAGTGACTTGAAAAACATGCCAGGCACATATGCATACGTGTCCAAAATCCTGACAGGGTGGAGAAAGGGAGGAGAAGGGATTGGGCTGAGGCACCACCCATTTTAGGGTACTTTCCTTGTCTCTTTCTCTGGCAAGTGCACATACCCTCTGGCACACTGAAAGAAAGAAAAAAAAAAAAGGAAACATCTATTATAAATGAAATAACTTGTGAACAGATACAAATACTATGTGCTTAACAATTTGAATATTGCATTTAAGCTTTGTATTCTGGAGGTTCATTGGGTATCTGAGGAAAGAAAAAGTCTGAAGATTAGTTTCAATGGATAATTTATTTTTTCTGTTTTAGGATATTAGAAATGGCTACTCCCCAGTCAGTTTTCATCTTTGCAATCTGCATTTTAATGATAACAGAATTAATTCTGGCCTCAAAAAGCTACTATGATATCTTAGGAGTGCCAAAATCGGCATCAGAGCGTCAAATCAAGAAGGCCTTTCACAAACTGGCCATGAAATACCACCCTGACAAAAATAAGAGCCCTGATGCTGAAGCAAAATTCAGAGAGATTGCAGAAGGTAAGTAAATGACTATCTCTGAGGTCTCATGGGTATTAACTAGTAAGGAAAATGATAGCTAAGAAATGTATATGTGTGTAAGGCTTTGTGGAGGTACAGGGAGATTTATATATACCTATAGAGAGATTCTTGGAGACTATTTTCTTATAACAGATACTTTGATTCATGAATGAATGAATAGATAGATGATATATAATTTTTTGGTACAAAGATCTAAAAATGTTGAAAATGTACTATTCTGTTGTTATTTATAAAATTGCTGTTTCTATGTGAAAAGGAGTTTTAGGTACTGAAAATTCTTACCAACTAATTTATGAAACTCAATGCTTTAATAAGTATGTAGATTAGATATAAAAAAAATTAAAATAGACTCCCAAATGCCTTGTTTATTTTTCTCTTCACTTGATCTGCATTTATCTTTAAAGGGAAAGTATGAAACAAATTTTGACTAACGATTAGTTCTAAAACAAACCACCTCTTGAGCATTCAATAATTAATAGTGAGTAGAGGTAGCTAGGTAGAGAGTTGAAGTTTAATGTTTAATTGAACTAGTAAAGAAATGAAAAATCTGCATTCCTATTGAGTGATTGTATTTAACCATTTAATTCTTTAATACAAGTGATGGTTTCATAGAAATAATGTAAATTTAAGAACTCTAATTATTGCCCACATGCTTATTAGTAGTAATGGTAGCATTCATTTAATACATATTTATTGGGTATTTGCTAGAGATGTCATTGTGCTAACTGCTGTTAGTGGAGCAGTAAAAAAGATAGAGTCCCTGCCTTGGTTTATGACTTGCCTTTTTACTGAATTTCTATGTAGTGTTTTGCTTTTACTTTTAATGTGCTTCCTTGAAATATAGAGTTGGATTTACTTATTTGAAGAGGTGTGACTATATGTCATTTTAAATATTTTACCTTCAGTCGCTAAAGTGTTTTTATCTTTTTCAGCCTATGAAACACTGTCAGATGCTAATAGGCGAAAAGAGTATGATACCCTTGGACACAGTGCTTTTACTAATGGTAAAGGACAGAGAGGTAGTGGAAGTCCTTTTGAGCAGTCATTTAATTTCAATTTTGATGACTTATTTAAAGACTTCGGTTTTTTTGGTCAAAACCAAAACACTCGGTCTAAGAAACATTTTGAAAATCACTTCCAGACACGTCAGGATGGTTCCAGTAGACAAAGGCATCATTTCCAGGAATTTTCTTTTGGAGGTGGACTGTTTGATGATATGTTTGAAGATATGGAGAAAATGTTTTCTTTTAGTGGCTTTGACACCAACAATCGGCACACAGTACAGACTGAAAATAGATTCCATGGATCTAGCAAGCACTGTAGGACTGTCACTCAACGAAGAGGAAATATGGTTACTACATACACTGACTGTTCAGGACAGTAGTTTGTTCTTTTTCTGTTCTCACTAAACCCAGCAGTTGACTCTTCCTCAGAATCTGATGCAAAACAATTTTATGTGAACTCTTTTGACAAGTGCATGATTTCACCTACTTTAAACAATTTGATATAGCTATTAAATAAGTTATTTTTGAAAAATTCAGTAACATTCAACTAGTAGACAAAACTAATTATATTTCCTGATTAGGAAAGGCTCTAAAACAAAATTCAGTAACATTCAACTAGTAGACAAAAAACTAATTATATTTCTTGATTAGGAAAGGCTCTAAAAAAAAGATACAGTTCTGCTTAATTTCTCTGCCTTCCCTTGGGCTTGTCAATAAAGTGGCCAGTTTTATTACCAACAAAGGTCAAGTTTACTTGATACACATTCAAGGATTAAACTTTAAAAGTTGTACATTTAAATTGTGTGAACTTGAATGAGTTTTGCAGTGGAAACTTTGCTAATTTAAAATTGCATGCTCTGTAGCATCTGTGACTTGGGTTGCTAAATGTACACAAAACTGTACAATTGAGTCATTCTAGAAAAGAGCAGTATCTTGGTTTATTACCACTGAAAGTTTTAGAAAGGGGCAGTTTGATATTTATCAAAGAACCATGCCTTTTTACAGTAGAATTGAGGTAAAGGAAATTATTGTATTGTTAATAGTTTAGGCTGAAAAAAAATTGAAAACTTATGAACTATTGCCAAGAGATTGTTCCATGTTTGGTCCGTGGCTAATGATTTTGTAGTGTTGAAATCATAGCTACTTATACACATCTTTTCACATTTCTTTCTCAGTTGCTGGCATTCTCAGTCTTAATATGGATTTATATGTTTTGTGTATATGTGTGTAGTTCCTCTTCTTTGCACTTATCTTTATCTAGAGATTGACTAATACCTCATTCTGTTTGTAAAACCAGCCAGTAATTTCTGTGCAACCTTATGTGCAATATTTTTAAATCCTAAGAAATGTGTGCTTTTGTTTTCATATAGTTCTTTAGTCCTGCACTTTTCCACATTATACTCCATATGAGTATTAATCCTATGGATACACATTAAAACTAGTAAATATCTCATACAACATTGTGTGCGAATGAGAGAAATATAAATATTTACAACCTGATATTGTCTATTGTCATTTTATTATGCAGTTCTAATGGTATGGAGAATATATAAACAATGGGACATATGCTGATCATAGGCCATTTTCCCTAAGTTTCTTTTGACTAGACTGAAAACTCATGGGACCTTGTTAAAAGTACCATTTTTCATTTCTACTTTTTTTTTTTTGGTAGAATTTTTTTGCCTTAGGGTGTGTGCACACCCCAGAGAGAGAGAGATGAACAGACTGAGAGGGAGAAGTGAGAAGTCACCACTTGGTGAGATGGCCACACCACAATCCCTTCTCCATTTTCCTCCTAAGATCTTGTGCATAGGGACCAGCAGTTAGTGTAATGGCTATGTCGCTGAACTCCCATGTAGTCAACCGCAGTTCGAGTCCGGACCTGTTGGTTTAAACTCACACTGGGTGTGTGTATGTGCATGTGTGCCCAAGATCCTGAGAGGAGAATGGAGGAGAAGGGATTGCAGTGTGGCCATCCCCCCTGGGGGGTGATTTCTCGCTTTCTGTCTCGCTGTCGCTCTCTGTATTTCTGGCAAGTGCACGTGCCTTATAGCTTAAGTCCCGGTGGTCCAGGACTCAATCCGTGGTCCATCATGTGGGAGTCCAGCGACAACTACCATGCCATCTGCTGGCCCTCTACTTCTTTCTTATCCTTTCTGCTCAAATTTTGGTAGCTTGGAGATTTTGTTAATGATAATTTTGATGTATTTACTTTTTGGGAATAAGTGTACCTGCCACTTGTTATTTCCTATTTAGACCTAATGGGGAAAAAGCAGAGACCTTACATGAAGCTATATGTGTTAGTCATCTTTAATTTGAAAACTGTGAAGAAAATTTTTAAAGAATTTTGCCAGGGGGTACCTGTGCTTACCAGAGCCAGGGAAAGAAAAAGCAGTTCTCAGTTGGGCATGATCACACTGCAGTCCCTTCCTCTATTTCTCCTTTTGGGGTTTGGGGCATACATCCACATGTGTCTAGTTTTTTTTTTTTTTTTTTTTTGGGGGGGTTTTTTTTTTGGGAGAGGTTTTTTTTTTTCGCTATAGGGCTTATGCACTCGCCAGACAGAGACATAGAGACAGAAAGCGAGAAATCACCCCCCCAGGGGAATTGGTCACGCCACAATCCCTTCTCCTCCATTCTCCTCTTGGGATCTTGGGCACGCACGCACACGCGCCCAGCGTGAGTTTTAAGCCACCAGGTCCAGGACGCGAACCGCGGTCTACTACGTGGGAGTCCAGTGACATAGCCATTATGCTAACTGCTGGTTCCCCGTCTAATGTTTTTCAAATTGCATGCACATGTTCCTGTAGTGTTTTTCAATCAGCCAGGCCCAGGATTCATACCTGTGGTCAAACGTGGAATCCAGCTTTCTTAACTACTAGGTCACAGAAGTGGACTGAAAATGAATTTATTATATTCTTGTACCATATATACTGGGAGGTATAGCTGTTACTTGTTTTTGAGTTAGGGACTGAGGATTAACTGCAGTCTATTAAACAACAAATGAAGCAAAAAAAATAAGATCTTTTCAAATCAAGATTAATTTTAAAGCTACATTATTTTTATATTCTTAGCATATGTACCTTTTTTCCTCCAGAACTTGATTATCTTCCTTGTTTTCCCTATTCTGAACATTTATTTTTGCCCTCTCCTTACCTTTCTTTTGTCCATCTGGCGTAATTTTTGCAAAGAAAAAATGGACCTTGAATCACACAAACTCATGACATAAGAAACATGCGTAGGTAATCTATAGGTACGTATGAGTGTAACTAGTTTGAGATACAAGAACTTGGAAATTATACCAGTAATCTACATAAAATTTCTATTTTTTTCTCCTTTGTGGTTTATATAGATTGTTTTGTAGAAAGAAAATGCAAAACTTCTATACTTGAAGAAATAACCAAAAAGTTTTATCTATACCCATTATACAAATGACTACCTATGAAGTCTATCAAAATGTTTTTTTCCTCTGAGTAAAGCAGTAACTTTCATATTATGACTTTTAATCTTTCTTTTGAACTAAATTGTATAACTAAGTCTGGTTTGAGTATGTTTTCAATAGGATGCTTATAGTTATGTGATTTTAGATCCTTTAGAATTCAGGTTGCCCAAGGTCAAGAATTTGTATGCTCCTGGAATATTTTAGAGTGTTTGCCTGTCTGCTTGCCTGTCCTTTCCTTCTTTCCTTTTCTTCTTTGTTTTTCCTTCTTGTCTTTCTCTTTCTTATTGTAAGTTTTCAAAAGAGATTTTTGTTAAGCAATTAAAAACACACTAGGAGAGAATGAGATCATTGTCATACAGAATAGAGAGATTAGTTGTAGTAAGGCTCAAGTTTATATATTCATGTAAATGGCGCCACTTTCAGTTGCAAATAACAGGTTAAATCTGGTCAGTTTATATATACACACACATATTTATACATATAAATTTACATATATTTTATATATGTGTATATATTATAAATTACATATACACATACATACTTCTCTCTTGATCCCTATGAGATGATGAAAAATAGAATGAAGGCATAAAAGTACCAAAAAATAACAAGTTTTTACACTTTTAAGTAGTATATAAAGAAGAAGAGTTTGGATTGGGGAAGACATCAGAAAAGTTATTCTAGAGAAACTCTGAGGCTTAGATTGGTGAGGGAAAGAAAACAGGTCAGAGTTCAACAATGTTAATTCGTTGAACTGTGTTCAGAACCCGTTCTCTTTTTTTCTCTTTCTTCTAGGTAAGTAGTTGTTGACAGAACTAGGTTTTTCTTCAGGTCAGGGACTAAGAGCAATTTTTTAAAAAAGGATTGTTTAATTTTACTTATTGTTTAATTTCTTGCCAGAGAGGCAGAGAGAGGGAGAGAAAGGGAAAGTGAGAAAGCAAGCTGTCAAATCTGGGATTTAAATTGTGATCAACCATGTGGGAGTCCAGCACCTCAACCACCACACCACTTGCCAGTCTGGAGAGTGAGTGACTCTAAAAAGAGAGGAATTCCTGCT